ACCACGAGACCGGCGCCGGCGCCCCTCCCGCCATGCGCACTCAGGGCTCCTTCCGCGCCGGGGACACCGTGCTCATCGTCGAGGACCTCGTCACCAGCGGCGCCTCCGTGCTCGAGATCGTCACGCCGCTCCGCGCCGAGGGGCTCGTGGTCGCCGACGCCGTCGTCGTCGTCGACCGCGAGCAGGGCGGGAGGGAGAACCTGGCGGCGAACGGGGTCACGCTGCACTCCCTCATGACGCTCACCGAGGTGCTCGCCGTGCTCGTCAGCCACGGCAAGGTCACCCAGGAGAAGGCCGCCGAGGTGAAGCGCTTCCTCGACGCCAACAGGAAGGTCTTGGTGCCGGCGGAGCCCAAGGCGGTGTCGGCCAGGACGGCGCTCGCCGAGAGGGCGAGTCTGGCCAAGAACCCGGTGGGGAGGAAGCTGCTTGAGGTGATGGAGGCCAAGCAGAGCAACCTCTGCGTCGCGGCCGATGTTACAACAGCAAAGGAACTCCTTGAGCTAGCCAACAAGGTAAACAAATCATACAGTACTAATAAACTTATGCTTGCTGTTTATTGATGCTCAGGTAGGTTGTTTACGCACTTGTAATTTCTCATCGTGGGTAATCAAGCATTCTGTAATGTGTCAAGACCAAATTGACTGCATCAGTAATTCATGCATGAAACAAAGACAGAGATTTGGGGGTTGTGAACTGAATAAATTCAGAATTTTTGTACTGTACTTATTGTATACCTTTCACACGTACTCTTGCAAATACTTTTGAGGAATCTAATGTTGCAAGTATAAATAGTACCACTGAAAAAAAAATCAGTGTGGGTTCAGTACAGGTGCTGAATACAATGTCATCTCAGTCTCATACAGTTCTTCACTAAGCTGGATTAGCTTTGACCTTTTCGCTATTTTTTGAACCCCATTTGATTAATTTCCATGTAAATTCTCTTTAAATTTCTGTTTCTAGCCCCCCAACTTAACATGTACTGGTGATTTTGTTCTCCAATGGTAGGTTGGTCCGGAGATTTGCATGCTGAAAACCCATGTGGATGTCCTGTCTGATTTTACACCAGATTTTGGCGGCAAGCTCCGTTCGGTATGGTCACCCTGCTTCTGATGCAACCTTTATTTTCTTTCGGCCATCCTTATTATTGATGATTTTCCTCGCATTTTGATGTTTGGTCGTAGACTAGTAGTTTGTTTGTCAGTAATCAGATCTTGCATCATTTTGAAAAAAAGAAAAGAAATCAAGTGTAGAATCATGCTTCATGCCTATCAGGTGTAGAAATATAAACCAGGTGTAAGTTCAGTACAGAGTATCTCTCTTCATACTGTTCTGTCAGGAAGCATGTTTCACTTCTGCACTTGTTAAAATGTGGAAGTGTGCTTTTCTCCATCAGTTCCGTGCACCCACAGTAATGCCTTCTTCGCATTTGGGCAAAATAGCCGTGTATACCAAGGAAATGTACTCTGTTCGCGATCTTTTTTCTACTGCCGAAATGCGGTATTTGCTGTTTGCTTTCTCCCACGTCACCCTGCAAGCTTAATTCCGTAAGGCCCATCCGTACGCATAGCATTGTTCAGTAGACTAGTATGCCATTCTCAGTTGGAGTTGGTTTTTCAGTAATCAGATATTGGATCATTCTGAAAGGAGAAAATAAATCATGTGTTGGCTCATGCCTATCAGGTGTAGAAAAATAAAGCAGGTGTAGGTTCAGTGCAGAGTGCCTTTGTTCGTACAGTTCTACCAAGCAATGTTTCACTTCTGCATTTGTTCAGTCTGAAAGTGTGTTTCTTCCATCAGTTCTGTACACCCATAATAATCCCTTCTTCGCATTTGGACAGTCCAAAATAGACCTTTATACCAAGGCAATGCATTATGCTCGCTATAGGTCTGTTTGTTTTCTACTGTAGAAATGTGGCTTTGGCTGCTTGGTTCTTACATAGATTGTTTTTTATTTGATGTTTCCTGAAGATTGCAGAAGAGCACAACTTTTTGATCTTCGAAGACCGCAAATTCACTGACATTGGGAACACGGTAACTATGCAATATGAAGGGTGAGAGCAGAGTATTGTAAACCACCTATTGAGTTTGTTTACTTTATATTTACCAACATAATATAACAAGTGTTCTTACGTTGATTCAGAGGAACATTCCGCATATCAGACTGGGCCGATATTGTCACTGTGCATGTAGTTCCTGGACCTGGAATTGTAGATGGCTTGAAGCTGAAGGTATACTGTGCTAATTACTTAATTTATAACTAGTTAATCCTGAGCTGAGAAGCCAAAGTGTCAATGTTACACCTGATAATGGCTGATATGTTGTAGTAGTGCACTAGTGCTCAACTGCTCATAGACAGTAAATCTGACGCATAATTGTCTTCAAGGGTTTGCCAAAGGGAAAAGGGTTACTCTTGGTTGCTGAGATGAGCTCACCTGGCAACCTTGCTCATGGAGATTACACCGCAACAGCCGTGAAGTTTGCCGAGCAACATTCTGATTTCGTTATCGGATTCTTGTCGGTAAACCCTGCATCCTGGCCAGCTCCGGCGCCGAGTCCGGCGTTCGTCCAAGTTGTCGATCCCGTGGTTGATGTTGTTGCCGGAGGAGATTCTCCTGGTCAGCAGTATGACACCCCTCATTCGGTGAGTCTGACCTTTGCCATTTCAGTTTTGTGTGACCAGCACTCTGTTTTCTTCG